GCTGATGGAGATTTTATGGATTGCATTGATCTGTAGATCAGTTGGGTAGTATAGACATTTTAAATGATGCTGAGTCTGCCGATCCATGAGCATGGATGATTTCCATCGTTAACATCCTCTGCTATTCCTCCTCCAGTGTTCATAGTCTCCCTGTAGAGGTCTTTTACCTCCTTGTTAAGTATATTCCTAGGTACTTTAATTTCTTTGTTGCTATTGTGAAGGGAATTGAGTCTTTGATTTGTTCAATTAGATTGTTTGTTGGCGTAATTGAATGCTGCTGATTCTGTGTATTTATTTGTATCCTGAGCTTTACTGAATTCATTTGATCAGTTTCAGGAGTTTCTTGGTTGAATCTTTGGGTTTTCTAGATACAATCATAACATCAGCAAACAGTGAAAGTTGATCTCTTCTGCCCTATTTGGATACCTTTGATTCCATTTCCTGTCTGATTGCTGTAGCCAGGACTTCCAGCACTATGTTGAACAGAACGAGATGTGGCGCCTTGTCAGGTTCCAGTTCTTAGTGGAATGCTTTCAATTTTCCCCATTCAGTATGATGTGGCTATGGGTCTGTCATATATGGCTTGTATCATTTTAGGTATGTCCCTTCTATGCCTATTTCTTAAGTGTTCAAATCATAAAGGTGTTGAATTGTCAAATCATTTCTGCATCTATTGAAAGAATCATGTGGTCTTTGTTTGCTTCTGTTTATGTGGTGAATTGCATTTATAGATTTACATATGTAACCATCCTGCATCCTGGGATGAACGCCCATTGGTCGTGGGTGATATTTTGATAAGCCCCTGGATTCGTTAGCTAAGATTGTTGAAAATTTTTACATCTATTCATTAGGATATTGGTCTGCAGTTCTTTTTTTATTGCATCCTTTCTAGTATCAGATAATATTCGCTTCATAAGGCTCAGGAGGTCCGTTCTTCGATGTTGTGAATAGTTTCTGCAAGATAGTACTAGTTCTTCTTTGTAAGTGTAGTAAATTCGGGTGTGAACCATCTGGACCGGACTTTTTTTTAGGGAGATTTTTAATGCTGTTTCTATTCACTCTTGAGATTGGTCTGCTCAGTGGAATCTATTTCATTCCTGGTAGAGCCTAGGGGCAGGGCTGTGTTTTCTAGTAATTTACCATTTCTTTCTCAATTTTCCAGTTTGTGCATAAAGAGTTTAGTATTCATAATTTATATCTTGTTATCTCTTTGGGATCAGTTGTGATCATCTTCCTTTTTTTGTTCCTGATGGAGGGCTTATTAGAGATTTGTCTTTTCTGCTTTTCGTGTATTCATTAGGCAAGGTTGGTGTGTCAAGTTTCATTATTTTTTAAAAGTACCAACTTTTTGTTTATTAATACCTGAAGCTTCCCTGTTTTGAATTTTATTTAGTTCTGATTGCTTGTTGATTTCACTTCTTCTGCTCGGTGGGGGTTGGTCTGTTCTTCTTTTCCCAGCTCTTTGAGTTGTTTTGTTAGATTGTCTATTTGTGAACGTTTTTTCTTTTGGTTGTATGCATTTATGGAGATACACTTTTCTCTCAGAACTTCTTTCGCTGTGTCCCAGTGATTTGATAACTTGCTCTTCCATTGTCGTTTTGGTCATAGAAGTTTTTATTTCCAACTTGATTTCTTCATTTATGAAGTAATCATTTAATAGGAGGTTGTTTTATTTCCACATTTTGTGTAGAAATATGAGTTTCTGTTAGGTTGATTTCTACTTTTATTCCACTGTGATCTGAGAAGGTACATGGTATGATTTCTATTTTATTAAATTTCTTGAGATTTACTTTGTGTCCTAGGAAATGGTCAATCTTAGAGAATGTCCCATGAGCTGATGAGAAGAATGTATATTCAGTGGATTTTGGGTAGAATGTCCTGTAAATGTCATCAGACCCAATTGTTCCAGGGTTTTGTTTAAGTCCATATTCTTATTAATTTTCTCTTTGGAGAGTCTGTCTTGTGCCATCAGTGGGGTGCTGAAATCTCCGTGATTATGGAGTTGCATATAATCCATTTGCTTAGATCCAGTAAGGTTGGCTTTATGAAACTGGGTGCCCCTAATTTGGGTGCATATATATTTAAAATTGTTATCTCTTCTTGTTGAAGTGTGCCCTTCACCATTATATAATGACCCCCTTTGTCTTTGACTACTTTTGTTGGTTTAAAAACTAAATCGTCTGAAATTACAACTGCCACACCAGCCTTCCTTTGGCTTCCACTTTCCTGGAATATTGATCTCCACCCTTTTACTTTTAGTCTATATGCATCCTTTCAGGTTAGATGTGTTTCCTGAAGACAGCATATACTTGGCCTGTATTTTCTTATCCACTCAGCCAGCCTATGTCTCTTGAGTGGAGAGTTTAAGACATTCACATTTATTGCGAGAACTGATAGGTAAGGTAGATTATTGTTCATTCTGTTGGGTTGGATGTTGTTGGTTTGATTTCTCTCTTGAGCCATTGTATTATCTGGCCTTTAATCTTTGGGTTTTGATTGTTTTTATATTCGTGTGTTTTTATTATGGTGTTCCGTGTGTAACACTGTTTTGAGTACTTCTTGTAGGGCTGGTCTTGTCTTGGTCAATTCTCTGAGACTTTGCTTGTCTGAGAATGTCTTTATTTCTCCTTCATATATGAAGCTTAGTTTTTCAGGGAATAAGATTCTAGGCTTGGCATTGTTTTGTTTCAGAAGGTGAGCATGGGGCCACAGTCTCTCCTTGCTTGTGTAGTCTCATTAGAGAAGTCTGATGTTATTCTAATTGGCTTTCCCTTGTATGTTACTTCCTTCTTTCATCTTACAGCTCTTAGTAGGGCTTCTTTAGTTGATATTTTGGTCAGTCTGATGACTGCATGTCGTGATGTCTTCCTGTTTGCATTGAATCTCCCAGGGGTCCTCTGAGCTTCTTGAACTTGTATATCGAGATTTTGAGCAAGGCCTGGGAAATTTTCCTCTATTATATATTCAAATAGCTTGTACAACCGTTGAGTGTTGTCTTCTTTCCCTTCTGGTAACCCTATTACTCTCACATTAGGTTTCTTCACATAATCCCACATCTCTTGTAGGCTTTGCTCTTTTCTCTTGTTTCTCTGCTCTATATCTGTCATGGTTTTATTTAGTTGGAGGGTGTTATCTTCAATCTCTGAGATTCTTTCTTCTATTTGATCTACCTATTCTTGAGACTTTCCACTGTATTTTGTAGTTCCCTGAATTGAATCTTCATTTCCAGGAGTTTGGTTAAACTTTTCTTCATTGTGTCTATTTCTTTAGTGAACTTTTGTTCTAGGTCATGGAGGCTTTTAGTGGTTTCTTTGTGTTGGTTATTGAGTTGTTGTTGCATGTCGGTGAGTGTTCTTATGATCCACATATGAAATTCCTCTTCTGTCATTTTGGTTGCCTGATTTTGGTTGGTGTCCATTTCTAGGGGGCTGGAGCTCCTCTTTGGGGGTGTGTTTTCTGTTTGGTTCTTCATATTTCCTGAGTTCCTTCGATGATTTCTTCCCATGTCGATCAGTTGTTGTTTCTTTTCTTTAGGTTTTTGTTTGGGTATTCACAAACCTTGTTTCGTTTCTGAGCCAGTAGGTGGTGTCTGTGGATGAGATTCGACCACTCCCTGTATAATGAGTCAATAGGTGCCATGAAAAGGCTGTTCACGATGTCCTCCCTGTCAGTAGGTTGTGCTTGCTTGGAGGAAGAGGCTGCGCTATTGTTTTTGTGTCCTGTTATTAGCTCTTGTTCCTGTAGGGAGTCACTCTAGTGCCTCAGGTGGTCGGTGGGGCCCTGGGACTTCCAGGTGTGTCCTTTTCTCCCTCTCAGTGAGGGCTGGTCTAGGGGGAGACTGGGCGGAGCTGGGTTTTTTAAGCCTGCCCTCAGGTACCACCAATGCCGTTAGCAGGGGTCAAAGTTCTGTTCTCTGCCTCCACGAAAAGCTGTCAGGGAGTGGCTGGAAAGGTCCTGCTCAATCAGAAAGTCGCTCGGTGGTGGCGGCCATCTCTGGGCTGGTGTCCGCAGGTCTCTCCACCTGCTGGGGAGCCCACCAGCATTCCCAGATGCAGGGGAGGGAAAGGTGACTGATCCATCCACCCTTCCCGCTGGTCTCCGGGCTGCTCCGGAGGTCTCAGCTTCCAGTTCTCCTCTGCAGCCTCCTACCATGCAATCTCCCATGGTTTCAGGTACCCCTCCTTCTGGCCCTCATCTGCTGTATGCTTGTCTTCTTGCTTCTTTTTTCTAATTTCTGCTAGAATCTGTCTTTTCTGTAGAGACACTCTGTCTGGCGTTGTTTCTCGTCCGCCATCTTGATCCTCCCTCCTTCTCCTCTGTTTTTTTCTTATGTCATTCCTTGAGGGCACCTCCTTGGGCATGCAAACAGTCTCCATTGGATAAAAGTGGTTTTAACAGGATTTTTGTTCAATGTCTCCTTCCATTATATTTAAAGTGTCTTTTTTTTGGCATCACAAGAATGATCATAGAAGTTTGTCTAACACTGTAACCCCAGGACTAAATTTAGTTGTGTCACCTCTGAAATATATAACTAGCTAAAGAACTTTATTGTAGCTGAGATATTACAAATTTGTCTGGCATCATCATTATATAGGTGGAATTGGTAACCAATAAAATAACTATCTGTTATATTCTTTTTCTTATGACATCCATCAACTAGCCTTTCTGCTTTTGCAAATTCAAAAGAAAAATTTAAATATAAACCTGAAATAGTGAATAGAATAGAATTAGATACACTTCCACAAAGCATATTCTAAGATTACTATATCATTGTTTTTTCATGGATTGCATTCTAAATTAATGAGTTCAAAAACTAATAAAATAAAGCTAATTTTATATTGCTAGTTAAAACTAGAGTACAACAAATTATCAAGGGAAGTTCATGAAAATTTTGCCCATGTAATAACTTATAGGTACAATTGTCATTAAAAGTCTACACTTAAACTCCAGAAAATATAAACTAACTAGAAATACTAAATTTCTAAAATTATTATTTTTACCAGTGAGATTCTTTGATTGTATCTTGAATTCATCCTTTATTATACTTCTTCCAACTGTATCTGTCAATTGTTCTATATTCATCCCTATAGAAATACACAGATATCAAATTACTGTATGGTAATCATTTACATACAAATATGAATGTGTGTGTGCATGTATGTGTGGTACTAACTTAAAACATGCATATTTATACAAGAAGAGTTATAATGGAAATACCTAGATTGAATAATAACAAAATTTGAACATGGAAAGGCTGTTAGCAATTATATAAATCACATTTTGTTTAGGCTTAGATATGTTTAGGGAATTGACCAAGACCATATATCTAGGAAAAGGTAAAACTGATGCACAACTTGATGCTGCATTAATTCCTTAGCCAGTGGGTTTTCTATACAATGCCATCTCTTAGGCAAATTGAAATCATCCTACACATATTATGATAATAATATTAATTGTCAAGTTTACATTAAAACACACTCATTCTGTAGGTATTACCATGTGTGGTGAAACTTAACATATTTTTCCACAGGTCAAGCTGCAAACCATGGTCTCATTAGTCACAGAAACCCACCATAAGGCAGAAATTCCTTGACTCATTCCAGAAATATTTCCCTTTTCTTTTTATGTTATGTAATCTGTAAATCATGCAGGCATCAGTGATAAAAAGTATAATAATACATGTATTGGACTGAGAAAAAGTGCCCTAAGAGTTCCCTTTAGCATATAGTAAGCAAGAAATGGTTAAATTTGTAGCAGTGCAGGACCCTTATTGGATCCCTTTCCATTTGAGTTATTATGTAATTTGATATTTTTGCTGAGATTAGAAATCACTAACTATATTCAACGAGATGAAATGTACATGAAATTTGTTAAAAAGAAAATCATATGGAAAAGGTGATAATAAGGATTGGTGACATAAGGTTAACATTGGGCCTAACATTTTTTGTGTGGAATTGGCTCTAGCAGAGCATGTAACTGTGCTTGGAAACTTCATTATCCTGACACTATAAAGTAGAAGGTTGTGGGTTTTTTAAAGTGAGTGAACTCATGAGTAAATTGAAATGGTTGTGTTATAATCCTGGCAGATCAAATAGCACCACTGTATTATGTACTGAGCATTGCATCATTACCAAAGTAAGAGATGTGTGAGATTGGGTAGAATAAGTTTTCAATAATTAAGTAAAAATCATAAGAGGTATAGCAACTCAAATATGGAAACAGATATACTTTAGGACCCTTGTTCTTTCTCTAATACACACACACACACACACACACACACACACACACACACACACGGAAGGAATCATTCATTTGAAATGAGCAAGCAAATAATACTGACATAAGTAGGGAGGAAATGAGAAGATAATTTGAGGGAAGATTGGGATAAGTACTAGAAATTAAAAGGTATATGCTGGAAAAACTTATAATCTAGTATAAGTCACAATTTTCTTCCTTCACAATATACTTATATTACTTTAAATTTTTTGGAAAGTCTTTTTTCTGCTTGAAGTTCACTGAGCTATTTTGAAAAAGATGAAATTATTATATAATTTGTACATTCAAAACATCAAATTCTATGGTTTTTATTATATTAAAACAGTTCCGTAACCATCACCACAGTTTTAGAATGTACTTCAGATTTATACTATGAATAATTAAATTCTAGCAAAATATAGAAAAGTTATCCCTATAGAAATCTAATCCCTTTTCCTCATTTTTGTGCTATTGCTATACATATTACATCTATAAATATTAAAGATATTGTTATAATTTGTTATAGTTACTTCTTTATGTAACTTTATGCTTTTTAAAGAAGCTAAGAAAGAAGTATATATTCACAATGCTATTATATTAACGTTATTTACAATTCATGGTTCTATTCATTTGCTCCTACAGATTCAGGTTACCATATCTTTTCATTTTATCTTTTTATTGATACATAATATTTGTACATATTTATGGGGTACATGTGATATTTTGTTTCATGCATAGTATATGTAATGATCAAGTCAGTTTATTTAGGATATCCATCACATCAAGCATTTATCATTTTTATGTGTTGGGAACATTTGCAGGCCTCCATTCTAGCTATTTTGAAATATAAGCTACATTACGGTTAAATATAGTCATCCAACTCTGTTATTGAACATTTGAACTTATTCTGTTTATTTGTACCTATTAAGCAATCTCTCTTTGATCTCCCATTTCTTAATTTCTTCATTGATCCAGTGGTCATTCAGGAGCATGCTCTTTAATTTCCATGCATTTCTACAGCTTCCAAAGTTCCTCTTATTATTGATTATTAGTTTTATACCATTTTGGTCTGAGAAAATACTTGATATGATTTCAATTTTTAAAAATTTGTTAAGACTTCTCTTGTGGCCTAATATATGGTGTATTCTGGAGAATTATCTGTATGCCAATGAGAAGAATGTGTATTCTGCAGCTATTGGATAAAATGTTCTGTAAATGTTAGGTCTATTTGGTCTGAAATGCTGTTTAAATCCAATGTTTCTTTGTTGATTTTGTATCTAGATTATCTGTCTAATGCTGAGAGTGTGGTGTTGAAGTCTTCAACTATTATTGTATTGGAGTCTATCTCTCCCTTTAGATCTAATATTTGCTTTATATATCTGAGTGCTCTGGTGTTGAGTACATACATGTTTAGAATTATTATATTCTCTTTCTGAATGTCCTTCCTTCTCTTTTACTGTTTTTGACTTAATGTCTATTTTATTAATATCTGAATCCTGCTCATTCTGATTTCTATTTGTGTGAAATATTTTTTCTGCCCCTATATTGTCAGTCTATATGTGTCTTTACAGGTGGAGTTTTAGGCAGCATATAGTTGGGTCACTTTTTATTTTAAATCCATTCAGCCAGTCTATATCTTTAGTGGAAAATTTTATCCATTTATACTCAAGGTTATTATTGATACATGAGGACTCACTCCTGTCATTTTGTTGTATTGTTGTTTTGTATATTCTTTATTCCTTTCTTTCTCTATTATTGCCTATCATTGCAGTTTGGTGGTTTTCTGCAGTAGTACCATTTGAGTTCTTTCTCTTCATCAGTTGTGTGCTTGCATTTCCAGTAAGTTTTATACTTTTGTGCGTTTCCATGATGATAGATATTGTCCTTTCACTTCTTGGCATAGTATTCTATTTAGCATTTCTTGTAAGATCAGTCTAGTAGTGACTAATTCTCTCAATTTGGCTTGGCTTCAAGATATTTCTCTTTCATTTATGACAGATAACTTTGCTGGGTTCAGTATTCTCGGTTGACAAGTTGTTGTGTTTTTGTTGTTATTGTTTTGTTTTTTCTTTTGAATATCAGCCCTTTGAATGTGTCATCTTATTTTCTCCTAGCCTATAAGGTTTCTGTTGAGAAGTCCACTGTTAGTCTGATGGCAGGGGGTCCCTTATATGTGACTTCACACTTTTCTCTTGCTGTTTTGAATTCTTTGTTTTTGATTTTTGACAGTTTGACTATAATGTACTTTGGAGAATATCCACCATCTGGAAAACTCAAATTTCAATATTTGGTTCTTTATGGGCTCCCATACACCATATAGGCTTTCCTCATTATTTTTTATTATTATTTTTTGTCTGTGTAATTTCAAAAGGTCTTTCTTCAAGTTCTGAAATTCTTTCTTCTGGTTGGTCTAGATTATTGTTGAAGCTCTTTTTATCTCATTCATTGAATTCTTTATTTCCAGAATTTGTTTGGTTTTCTTATCATATCTCTTTGGTGAATTTCTCATTAATATTCTGAATTGTTTTTCTGGTTGATCTGTATTGTTTATCTGTGTTCTCGTATCTCACTGAGCTTCTTTAATATTATTTTGAAACCCTTTTTATGCATTTTATAAGTTTCTTTTTCAAAGAAAACTGTTGCTGGAGAATTATTATGGTCCTTTGAAGATGTCACATTTCCTTGCTTTTTCATGTTTCTTGTGTCCTCACTTTGATATCTGTGCATCTGATATAAGTCACTTCTCCCAATTTTTTGGAGTGGCTTTCCTAGAGGAAGACTCTTTTCCAAAGATGTATCTATGGTGTTGGCTGAGTACGGCACTTTAGCTTTGATTTTAGGTGTGTGAAGCAGTATAGTCTCTGTATGATTTCTTCAGCTGCAAGCAGTATCAGTGATGTCTGTAATTTAGGTTGCAGTTGTTAGTGGAAGCTGTGGGGAGGCTTTGCAGGGAATGAGGATGCCAATTGGGTTCCTTAGGCCCTATTGGTGGCAGCAGTGAGCCAAGCATGTCTTTCTTTGGGCCCTTAGGCAACATATGCAGGCACTGGTGTTAGTAGGTCCTGGCAGGCTTATTCCTGAGCCTCCTGGTGGCTTGCTCAAGTGCTGGCTAGGGCAATGGTGGGCCACACACATAGGTTAGTCCTTGGGAACCAGGGCGCCATGCGTGGCAGAGGAAATGGCAGTAACAGTGGGAATACAATTCTTAGGCTCCCAGGTAGCATGTGTTGGTGTTAATGGTGGCTGAGACTGGCTGGGCAGGCTAGTCCCCAGGCCCCAGGTATTGTGTGGTGGTTACAGTGGTGGTGGTAGCAGGCTGAGTGGGCCTCAGCCCCTGAGAGGAGTGCATACATGCCAATAGTGATGGATGGGGAGGGTGATACCTTGCCTCCAGATGATGTTTTGGTGCTAGTGATAGGTGTTCTGAGACTGTTATTAGGCCCTCTTGTGGTGTTCACGTATGCCCATGGTGACCAACAGGGACGGGCAACCCCCAGGCCCCCAGTTGCATCTTCAGGCATAGTGGGTGCAATGCCAAGCCAGGGAGGCCTGTCCTCAGGTCCACTGGAGGTACACAAGGGCCTATGTTGTGGAGGGCAGGGTAGGCAATCCCAAGGTCCCTGAGCAGTATGCCTAGATGGCAGCAGCAGTGGCAGCAGTCAGTGGGGAAGCCTGTTTTCAGGGCATATACAACTGCACAGTGGCCCTATTGCAGGGTGGGGTGGAGTTTCTGTCAGCAGTAGTGACCCCCAAAACAGGTGGTTCTCAGGCTCTGGTAAGCACACACTTTGGCCTCTGGTGGTGGTAGTGGGTGGGGAGAGCTTGTTTTCAGGGTACGTGCAAGTGCACAGCAACCCTGGTGCTGGTGAAAGCAGGGTTGCTGTCAGTTACAGCAGCCCCAGGAAGGTTACTTTCACACTCTGGAGAATATATTATTTTGTCCCAGGGGCAACCTCCCCAGTGCACTGTACCACCCTTTACCTGGAGTGTTGAACATTGTGTGGGGTAGAGTGCCAGGGACCCTATCACACTGCTGGGTCCAACCAGCAATGCACCACTACAGTCCTCTTGGTGAATCTGGGAGTATGTCAATGGAGCTCCAGGCATGTGGAGATGTGGGAGGTGTTGGAATCCAGGGTAAGATTCAGTCTGGTGGAAGCAAGGCTCTAAAAATGGTACCATGATATAGCTGCTTGGGTGTTAGGGTATGTGTGTGACTCAGCATGAGCTCCCTGTCATGGAGCAATTACATTGCTCAGACTCAAGACAGCTCCCTATACTACTCTCAGGGCCTGCAAGGGTCAAAGGGCTGTCACATGGCTAAGACTGCAGGAGTCTACAATGGGTTTGTGGTATCTTCAATTGGGTATCTCTCACTTATCCTTTTCCCACACTTCGGAGCCTTTCTGGCCTCCCATTTTATCCTAACAAAGCTGGCAGCCTTACTTCCCTTTCCTTCCATGCCTCGGGCATTTCCTGACACTTTGCTGATAAATTCTAGTGTTCTCTCTTATATAATCTATTCGAAGTATGATTATACACTTCCTATTTTGGTTCTTCTTTGTGGAGGAGGTGAATAGCAAATGCCTCTAGTTAGCCATCTTGGAGCTCTTGTCACTTTCTTATTCCAATACATCACTTCCAAATATCTCCTTTGTGCTGCTATGGTGGAATATATTACATGTCTATATTTTAAAGTCCCAAAAATACAATTATATAATTGCTTTTTAAATCAATAAGAGCAAAGAGGAGATGGAATACACATTTATGTGGTCTTTCAGAATTAAATAATTCATTTAGCCCATGCTCATTTTATGGGATACAAATTAGTGTGAGAAGTAAGTTTTTTCAGCTTGAGAAATTTTATATTTTGGGGGAAGTAGTTCTGCAAGCAGTGAATTCTCTCATTTTTTATTTATTTAGGAATATCTTCATTTTACTTCCATGTTTAAAAAATAGTTTTTCTAGATGTAAGATTCTTAGTTGACAGATCTTTATTTAGCACGTGGAATATGCTATCCCACTGCCTTCTAGCCTTAATAGTTCCTAATGGTAAGTCAGCTTTTAATCTTAGTGGGGTTCCCTTTTATATGATACATTGTTTTTCTCTTGCTTCTTTTAAGCTTTTACCTTTTCCTTTCCAATATTTTTGCTAAGATAGGTGTGGCTGTGTATTTGTTTTTATTCTATTTAGATTTCATTGAGCTTGAATGTGTAGACTCATATTTATCAATAAATATTTTTCAATGTTTTCAGCTATTATTTCCTCATATATTTTTTTCTATTCCTTTATTTCTCTTTGCTTTTTCTAATGTTTCTTATACTCTAGTTTGCAGATTCTTTCTTCTGATATTTAAATTGTACTTGAGTCACTCTAGAGAACTTTTCCTTACAGTTTTTTTTTACTATTCAACAACATAATTTCCATGTGGTCCTTTCTAAAAATCTTTTCTATTTCTTTGTAGATATTTTCTATTTAATGAGACATTGTCATCATACATTTCTTTTCTTTTTTAAGAATGGTTTCCTTTACTTCCTTATAATAATTGCTTTGTAAGAATTGTCTGCTAAGTCTAACATCTATGGTTTTCACAAGTGGTTTTTGTTGACTGATTTTTTTTCTGTCTATGCGTCATACTTTACTGCTTCTTGGAATAACTCCTAATTTTATGCTCATAACTGGACATTTTAGATATATAATGTATCAACTCTGGATAATAATTTTCTCTTCCTCCAGTGGCATGTTGTGGTTGTTTGCTTGTTTGTTTAGTGATTTGGCAGATTATTTTATTCAAGTCTGTTTCCCCTGCAATGTGGAGTTTCTAAGGTTGTTTGTTCAAGGGAACAACCTAGGGCATGCACACAATCACCTCTGGATGACAGTGGTACTGAAGGGTCTCTATTTGAGTGTCTCCCTTATTTCTATGTTAAGCTGTGTCTTCTGGTATCATACCAGAAATCAAAGAAAGGTTGGTCTAACATTGTTATTCCTGCATTAAAAGCAGGATACAATCTCTGCACTATATTACACAATGAAAGGACTCCAGTATAGATACGGAATCATTACCATGCCTGACATTTTAAAAAACAGAGAAAATTTTGTAGCTAATAAGATAACTGTTATTCTTCTTTACTTACTATATCCATCATCTAGCCTTTCTGCTTTTTGAAAATTCAAAGTATTTAATAACTTTTTTTTAAACAGGAAATATAAAGTGATTAAAATAGCATTAGACATATTTTCCCCAAGAATTCATGAGGATCTTTGCCTATGTTATAATAATATATAAATATTGTTATTAAACATACACACTTCAATTTTTAAAAAGAAAAATAAATGAGAAATATTATACTTGAAAATTTATTCTTACCAAGGAGATTCTTTACTTGTGTCTTAAATTCAGGCTTTAATAAATGTCTTCCAGAAGCATCTTTCAAGAGTTCTATATCAGTCTCTATAGAAATAAGTAGATTTTATAACACTTTGTAAGGTAATTCTTATAAAAATGTGATGGACCATGTTTCCCCGAAAATAAGACCTATCCATAAAATAAGCCCTAGCAGAATTTCTAAGCATTTGTGCAATATAAGCCCTACCCTGAAAATAAGACCTAGTGATGGGCATGGCTATGCAGCATATCTGCACAACCCATGCATTTTGTCGCAGAGTGGTAAAGAAGACAAGCAGCCCTTATCATCTGCCCCATGAGAGCTCTATTGCTCTGCATGAGAGATTGGGTCCAATGGTTCTAAAGGAAGTAGAGTCGTAAGAAATTCAGGATGGAATTTGGGGTTTGGAGAGTTATGATGGTGTTCCAGAAGAAGATGACTTAACTATATTTGAATAAATGTAGATTGTTGTACCGTACTTAAAAAAAATGACACATCACCTGAAAATAACCCCTAGGGTGTCTTCTTGAGGAAAAATAAATATAAGATCCTGTCTTATTTTGGGGGAAACATGGTATGTAATACTAACTTAATTAGCTTTTGTAATTAATGAATAAGACTTATCATAAAATGTCTTTATTGTCAAATCACTAAAATTAGAATTGGAAGGTCTGTTAACAACCATATAAGCCTCAGTAATAGAAAAATTTTTGCACAAATAATGCCTCATAATTCTTTAATCAGTGTTGTCCCCATACAATGCTATCTCTTATGGAAAATGAAAATATCCCACAGAGTTTATGATAATAACATGACTTTCAACTTTACATTAAATCACATTTACACCGTATGGATATACCTGGTGAGAAGTAGGTAAATTCATGAATAAGTGTTAAAGGTTGCACTATGACCTTGGCATCATAAATGTACCACCACTAGCATCTGTATAGAGGCAGGGACCAGCTGGGCCATAATTACCAAAATGAACAAAGATTTATCACATTGGGCAGACCAAGTTTTCAAAATGCAAGTAACAACAAATTGTGAAAGTAATAAGATCTTAGCAAAACAAAACTGGGTAACATTAGCAGACAAATTTTAGCTGATCTGGTTCTTTCTTCAACTGGTATATGTAAGAAGAACGCATTCACTTGAAATGACCTTGCAAAAATTCTTAGATAAGAAGGGAGGCAATTTGCTTAGGGGAAATAGGGTTAAACATTAGTAATGAAAAATATCTATTGGAGAAATTTATAACCTAGTAAGACATAATTTTCTTCTTTACAATAGCTTCCTCCTATTATGTCTGGAGTTCACTGATCTATTTTTTTAAAAAAACATATAACATATCATAATTTTTCCACTTAAAATGTCCAATTAAATGGTTTTTAATATATTCAGAATTGTGTTACTATCACCAGAGTCAATTTTAAATTCTACCTCAGATTTATACTAATTAAACTCATGAGCTACAGAAATGTGACTTCTATATAGCTCTCTTTCCTCTTTCTCATTTGTGCTATTGTTACACCTTTTATACCTATAAATACTGAAGACCTTGGTATATTGTTAGAATTATTTCTTTATATAACTTTCTTCCTTCTAAATGCAGTGAGATAATAAAAATCAATATATATTTATAGTATTTGTTTTATTAACTTTCTTATTTATAATTTTTGGCTCTTATCATTTGTTCCTGTGAATTCAGGTTACTATCTCTTATCATTTTCTTTCTTTCCCCCCCCTTTTTTTGATTTTATTATTATTTTTATTTCGGCATATTATGGGGGTACAGATTTTAAGGTTTCAATAAATGCCCATTTCCCCCCCTCCCCCCACAAGTCTGAGTCTCCATCATGACCATCCCCCAGATGGTGCACATCTCACTCATTATGTATGTATATGCCTGCCCCCCTCCCCCCTCCCACCTGCCCAATACCCTATTACTGTAGTACCTATGTGTCCACTTAGGTGCTACTCAGTTAATACCAGTTTGCTGGAGAATATATCTGGTGCTTGTTTTTCCATTCTTGGGATACATCACTTAGTAGTATGGGTTCCAGCTCTAACCAGGAATCTTATCATTTTCTTAAGCCAACTCTAACCTTTTTCCTAATACTGTAAAATATATTACATGCCTATATATGATGGGCCCAGAAACACAATCATATACGCAGTTTACACAATTGCCTTTTTTTTCTTTTTTTCTTTCAGTATATTATGGGGGTACAAATGTTAAGGTTATGTATATTGCCCACGCCCCCCCACAATTGCTTTTTAAAGTAATTAAAACAAGAAATGAAATATACACTTTATACTCTTTTTTATAATTATAGAATTACTCTTATCCTTTCTCTTTTCTGTGTGATTCATATTACCATCTGAGGTAAACTGCATGTTTCCTGAAGACCTTTCTTTAGTATTTTCATAAAGTTGGTCTTCTAGCAATTAATTCTCTTAATTTTTATTTCTTTGAGAATCTATTTTACCTTAAGTGGGTAATTTTTTTTGAAAGACAGTTCTGCTGAATGCAAGACTCTTGGTTGACAGTTTTTCTTTCAGAACTTTCAATATACCATCCTATTGCCTTCTTGCCTCCAGTGTTTCCAATGTCAAGTCAGCTAGTAATCTTAATGGGGTTTTCAATAAATAGAAGAAATGCCAAACAGTATTCCAATGTGTTTGTATCAATTTACACTACTACCTGCAGCTTATGAAAGTTCCAATTGCCCTAAAAAATTATCATAATTTAATTCTGTCATTTTTTCTAATTTATACTCACTGGAAATATATGTTAATAGTACAATATCCTTGTGACTTTAATTTTAAGTATCCTGATTACTAATATTGAGCACTTTCAGATGTTTATTGGTTATTTAGGTATCTTCTCTTGTGAAGTAAACGTTTATGATTCTTGTCCATTTTTAAATTGAGTTACCAATTTTTTTCATTACTGGTTTGTTGGAAATTCTTTAAATATTTTGAATGAAAGCCTTCTGTTGGTTATTTGTGTTGTAAAAGAATCTCCTACTTTGTCAACTGCTTTTTATAGAGACAAGGTCTCACTATGTAGCACAGGTTAGTCTCAAACTACTGGGCTCAAGTGAAACTTATGTTTAGTCCTCCCAAAATGGAAGAATTACAGGCATAAGCCACTGGGCCCATCTGTCACTTGCTTTTTAAATCTCTTAATAGTGTCTTTTGATGTATATAATTATGAATGTTGAAACTAGTTGAAACCATTTACATTTAAGATTAGTGATTATTTGTATTCTTTTTAATAAATCTAATCCAAAGACAGTAAGACTTTTATATTATTTTATTTTCAAGAATAACTCATTTTGCAATATGCATATGAACAGAATTACTTTGAAAATAATATATTTTTATTATTGTTATATAGTTTCTTTTTTGAAATCAATACATTATGAGCCTGTTTCCCAAAATAATTTGCTCCATTCATCTATTTGTCTAACATTGTACCAGTGCCATACTGCTTCAATTATAGTACCTTTATAATAAAATATGATATCTAGTACTTTATGTCCTTCAAATTTATTCTTTATCAGGGTGATCTTTGCTGTTTTGGCCCTATCAACTTCTACATAAATTTTAAAATTAGCTTGCCAATTTTTAGAAAAATTGTTGGTGGAATCTTGAATGTAACTGCATTGAAATTTATGTATAAATTTTAAAAAATAAGTTATTTAAATATTGAATATTCCAATCTAAAAACTTGAAATAAGTTTCCAATTATTTATCTTTTAAAATTATTCTTAATAATGTTTTGTAGTTTGCTGTGTAGATATTTTCTATATCTTTCAAACATTTTAATAGACTATTTTCAGAGCAATTTGGGATTGCAGAGAAATTGTGTAGAAAGTACACAGAATTCCCATATAATCCTCTCCCCCATACACAATTTCCTCTATTATTACATTGCATTATCTGGTATATTTGAAAAAATGATAAACCAATATTGATACATTAACTAATATCCATAGTTTACAATAGAGTTAATTCTTTCTGTTGTACAGTTCTGTGTTTTGACAAATGCATGATGTCATATATCCACCTTTACATAATCACACAAAATAGTTTAAGCATTCTTAAAATTTCCTGTGCTACACCTATTCATCCCCTTTCACCCTGTAACTCTGGCAACCCCTGATATTTTTACTGTATCGATAGTTGTGTGATTTCCAGAGTATTATATTGTTAAAATCATACATTATGTAGCCTTCCACTGGCTTCTTTTTAGCAATTTGCATTTAACTCCAGAGATGTCTCACTGTGGCTTGATAGCTCATCTCTATTTATTGCTGAATAATATACCATTTTATGAAGGTACCACAGTTTGTTTATGTATTCATCTATTAAAGAATATCTTGGTTTCTTTCAATTTGGGGCGATTATAAATAAAGCAGCTATAAAAATTAATGTTCAGATTATTGCATAGACCTAGGTTTCAACTCATTTTAGTAATGACTAGAGTGCAATTGCTGGCAATTATATAATAAGATTATATTCAGCTCTGTAAAAACTGCCAAATACAAAATAGCTGTACCATTTTGCATTCCCACCAGCAATGAATGAGAGTTCCTATTGTTCCACAATCTTAACAGCATTTGGTGTTGCCAGTATTTTAAATCAGCCATTCTCATAGGTGTATAGAGATATACACTTTTGTTGTATACCACTTTTGTTTTACTTTGCAATTCCCTGATGACAATGTTAAGAGTGTCTTTTCAGGGCGGATTGCTTGAGGTCAGGAGTTCGAAACCAGCCTGAGCAAGAGCGAGACCCCGTCTCTACTCTAAATACAAAGAAATTAATTGGCCAACTAATATATATATATACAAAAAATTAGCCGGGCATGGTGGCGAATGCCTGTAGTCCCAGCTACTTGGGAGGCTGAGGCAGGAGGATTGCTTGAGCCCAGGAGTTTGAGGTTGCTGTGAGCTAGACTGATGCCACGGCACTCACTCTAGCCTGGGCAATCAAGTGAGACTCTGTCTCAAAAAAAAAAAAAAAAAAAAAGAGTGTCTTTTCATGAGTTTATTTG